ATACTGGATGTTATTATAAACTGTAATGTATATTTGAGGCAAGATATGTAATATATTATAGTTTACTTTATTAAGTAATATCATGCTGTTTTTAAGCATAATGCGTATTACCAGAATTTATTATAATACAACAGCGTATTATATATATATAAATTTAGTGTTTTGAACCAAAAATTGAACTAATAATACGTATAAATAATCCCAGATTATTTTAAACCGCCAGTGCGAATATCTATAGATTTAAGTAACTCATAGATTATTTATATACTTATTCTAATAAATAAATATTTTTTTTTACATCTGTCCTGCTCATATTTAATACTATATATAATCGCCGCTTGAGTTGTCCATTTTATTAAAAGCCTTATGTAATATTTTAGTTTTTAAGAGTACTGTTGCTGAAATTATTTTCTCATTAAAGAGAAACATTAAAAATATAATTTATGAAAAAAATCAGTGTTACTATTGTTGAAACATGGGGCACAAGTATGCCAATTGTTTATCGAAATGACAAATAGATCAAGATAATAAACTCATTCTTTCTGCAAAAATGTGGATGCTTTATAAGGTAGAACTTTGTATAAAAAACAAATCTCTGTACTCTACTATCACGTGATTTACTAATTTAATTTTCAGAAATTACTCCCATCAAAGAAAACTAATGAAAATAGAGACAGATTAGTTATAAAAATTGAAAAAATTTTAAGCAACGAATGGCCTGATCACGAAATAGAAGTTCATTTGTTTGGATAAATAAGTTTTTTTTTTTTAAATTTAATGTTGAAAAAAAATACATTTTTAAAATAATTCATTGAAATACCATTTTTTATAATGATACTTTCAAAAAGATCATCCATAAATCTTCTTAGAACATCAATATCTGATGTTGATTTATGCATTACAACGCCAAGTAGAGAGTTAGAAAACATATCTGCACTGTCTGTGAAGTTGCAAAAATGTATGCAAAATGTATTTATTAAGGCGGCATCCATAATTATGGATGCCATCTAATTTGTGAAGAAAATTTATTAATACTCTTTCGTATATTAAATAGATAATATGAAAATAACTGAATATGTTACCAATGCTAAAGTTCCTATTGTTAAATTTTTGGATCCTATGCTGTATATAACTGTTTACTTCTATGCTATACTTTTATTATTGTTTAACTTATGATAAGGTGGCATCCATAATTTACGATAAACCAGTATTGTTATTGAGATCTTAAAAAATAATACAAAAATAATACCATTATATATTATCATCAAGTTCTCTATTTCTATACAATACAATACTGGTTTAATGTAAATTATGGATGCCGCCTAAGGATAAGATTCTTATCGTGTTATAATTTCTAATTACAAATATTTACAGTAATTTAGCATGTGACATCAATATTAATAATACTCAGGCCTTACTTAATACAAGGTTAATAAAGCCGTATGTAAATTTAGATCCAAAAGCTCGCCCTTTAGTAATGACAATAAAACATTGGGTATAAATTCGAAAATTAAACAATGCTAGTATTCTGTTGATTTTAACAATTATTTAAAGTTTTCAAATCTTTTAATGTGTAATTATATTCATTATTGTAGCTTGCGGAACCCTATCATCATATACTTGGACATGTATGGTTTTGAATTTCCTTCAAATGCGTAATTCTCCAATTTTACCAGTATTAAAGGTTAATAGAAAAAATGAAGATATTGAATTGTTGAAAGTCGGTTACAAAAATAATGAATCGATTGGTGGATTATTATTTGCTTTTTTTAAATGGTAAAATATACTAGACTAGAGTTTGAAATCTGGTTTATTTTTTATATATCAAAACTGATTTTAGTCGGGTTTAATATATAAAAAATAAAATTCTAAATTATAATTATTTATTTAAATTAATAAAATATATCATACTGTAATTTATATTAGGTTTGTATATGACTTTGAATATGAAAATTACGTCATTTCTCTTTGGCTAGGAAGGTGCCTTAATAAATACAAAAAGAATTGGATGCGTTGGAAATTATGTATAGAAGAACCTTTTAATATAGAAAGGAATCTTGGAAATGGAGTGAGTTATGATAGTTTTAAAAAAATTAGGAAGGAATTTCATAGAGCAGTAAGAATTCTTTATAAAGCGGATCTCAAAGTTTGTTGCCAAGCACTTACACCACAAGCCGAGATTTATGAAAAGTATGAATATAATGATGACGGATCTAATATAATTACTAATATAATTACTACACTACTAGATGAGATTTATGAGTATGAAAATTATGATGATAGATCTCTTGTAATTACTTCAGAAGCTTTAAGTAAAGCTAAAGTTTATCTTGATATCATCAAAGAAATAAAAAATAAAAATAAAAAATTTATTTACACTCTGTATATTTTTTTATATATTGAAGTCCTTTCTTGTCATACGTTATTAACGTTATTATTATACAGTAAAGCAAAATGAATAATGATTTATTTTCTTTAATTCCAAAAGATGGTATTAGTGCTAAGTAATAAATTTATACTTTCTTTTATTATTCAAAGTTTTAATCTTTAAATTATAATCATTCTTATCTGAAATAAATTTGAAGATATGATTACTTACAGTATAAGCGGACCTTAAAAATTCTAAAAAAAACTTTTTATTACAGTATAATATCACATGACTAAATGGATCCATGGGTTCGTAAGATCTTTGAATTGTCACAATTCCATCAATTGTTTTGATCATCATTCACCAACCAATCAGAGAATTTAGCATATTTAAACCAAAAAGGGTATTATATATTAAAACAGCCCTTTTTTTGCAATTTTTTGAAAAATGAGTTTTCATTAGATTTATATAAATTTTGACATGATCGATATTTTTCAATTATAAATAAAAGGCAGTAAGTTATACAACCCGAATTTTGCATGAATTTATAATTTGATTTTGCCTGGAGTTATGTAGAAAGTAATTCGTTATTTGGCAAAAACAACTATATATATATATTTATGTATATATACTGTGTTAAATCAAATTTTAATTTTTATGAATAATTTCATGATTCATTTATTATATAAAACAAAATTATTGATTAGTACTCCGAAAATCGAATCAAAATTTGAATTTGAATCAAATATTTAAAATTATTTGATCAAAAATTTGATCAAATAATTTTAAATATCTGATTCAAATTCAAATTTTGATTTGATTTTGCGGAGCACTAGAATGAATTAAGTAGGCCAGGTCAATTTTAATGTTGGCTGAATTAAATGGACAGTTAAACGTTTAAGAAAATTTTAGGCGGTTCCATCTCAGAATAAGGCCAGTTACGGTTATTCAATTTGTGTATTACATGAATGATTAATTCGATTAAATGAAATTAAAATGTCTTTGAGTTGGAATTGGAGATTGAGAATACGCATGTATAATATCTTTTAATTATATGTCTTTAACTAATGTGTTAAAAGTAAGACTACAAAATGAAAAATAGTTAATACTATACTCAAGTCAAGAATTGAATATGAATGAGAAATGAATTATATATACTTAATAAACAAAACTATCTAATGAAATTACAATAAAACTAAACAAATAACCTATAAAATCACGAAAGTTTTTGCATCCAGTTATTCTAAAATATTGAATTAGTATATTGCAAATCTTATATATTAAACCTGTTTTTAAAAACGTATTGTATTGATATAGGATAACTTTCTTCTGATTGGTCAATCACGTACAATTGTATTTATACAGTTTAAAGTACTTTTTAAGAATGTAACAATTTACAAGTAAAAAATAAAAATTAAACACATCACTATCTTCGAAGAAGTACCAACAGTCACTATGCAAAATAATCCTACACCTAGAGGTACCTTATCTAGAAGGCGAAATTTCTATGTTGATTGTGACTATAGAACTATATGTGCTAAATCATTAAATACAACTGAGTTATTTAAAGAAAACTAACAGTACAAACGCTTTTTTTTTTTTAACAATAGATAAGTGATTTCTAAGCTATGTTAAAGAGGTTTAAAGCACAATATATACGTATATATATATATATATTACTCTAATGAGTTTTATTATAATGAGCTTTAGATAATGAATGATAGATCCTCAAATACTATATTAGTTTGGTATAAAAGGTGTGATAGACATTTAAAAAATACATATATAGACTTTATTTTTTTCTTTATTCTTTTGTTAAAGTGAGAAGCGATAGAAAATAATTAAGTTTACGAATATAATGTAATTTAATTGGTTGATTGTCACATGCTTCACAATTAGCCAATAATAACGTATTACTCAATTTCATGTGATGACCAATCACGAGAAAGTTATCCTATGTATTGATAATTTTTTTTATTAAACTTGCATTTTTTATATATTTACACAGGCAATCTATTGGCGAATTAGTTAAATCTCTAAAATCCTCATATATTCAGTATAAATATAAATATATATATATATATTTTTTTTTTTTTTTTTTTTTTTTTAATATTGAGGTGACTACTTAGGCCCCTGGTACTTTATTAGTTCAAACAGATAGGCTGTCCGAAGACTGGCTTACATATTACATCAGTATAACGAGAGTACAACTAGTCATACGTACAACTTTTGGTTGCCTATTTAAGTAGTCCGCCCGAAGCGTTAGTGCTATGCTAAGGGTTCTACACTAGCTGTCATACATATAGCCTAACTAGGAAGCTATCTATTTAAACTCTCTGGCTTCAACCAATGTCACATGTTTCCTCCTAATATACTCCTTTCGGGAACAGTAATTTACCGTGAAAGACCCTAAGACTTTAGTCAAAAACAGAAGGCATTTATCCTTGTGGTAAACTCAACAGAGTAGTGCCCGTCTCACACGGCCATTCACCTGCATGTTCAGTAATTTCTTCCTAATTAGTATATATTGTTTGCTGCCATTGTGTTCATATCTCATGCCACCTTTTGGGGTGCTGCAGTAACACAATCCGTATCTCAAGCCCAACCTTTCTAATTAGTCACCCATTACATACTCCTTGCCTTTGCAGAGTTCACAACAATCCCAGTACCTGCAATCCAGCCATCTCCTTATCCGGAAGCTTCATCGGTCCCTCTCGCAGTTCCAGCTGGCAACCCGGAAAGGTTGGTTTGCCCAGGCTTTAGGTGCCTGAAGGATGCCCTCCCTTTGGTTTATACTTTCGGAGCGTATGCTCTTTTCCTCCGGTGCGTCTAAACTGGCAGTTCGGCTGGTGTGTATCTCCACTAAAGGACCTAGTTCTACAGTTCTCCAATCTCAGGTTCTGGTTCGAATTTAGCCTTTTATGTGATACTGTCAAAGATCACTGCTACTCCCCAACTCAGGACTTGCCAAGCAGGTTCCAGAATCTTCTCGTTCCTCAGTGTTACCAACACTACCGGGATATCCTATATCTGCTCGGCAGTACGCAGACGCCCGACAGTGACAACTTTTCAATACAGAACATTGGTGTGACCCGAAGTTACAGGTTAATCTAAGCCCCAACTTAATAAAGATCCGTTACTGTAATACAAGCCTTTTTTCAAACTTTCGTCATCTGTGGGATTTGAACACTAGACCTGCTACTTGGAGAAGGTAATGACTTGACTACTTCACTAAGCTGCCATACCTCTACTATTTTGTTTCTATACTATCATGTAAGCTAATTATTTCTAATCGTTAAAAGATACTAAAAAGTAATAAATTAGTTGCCATCATGGGTTAACACATAATCTTACTGATAATACAAACAATTAAGTATTTGTTTTCTGGTTTCATATTGGTCTTGATTTCTTGTTTTGTTCGTCACGCTTGATCTACTTCTTATTATTTTAGATTTGCGCCTGTGTCCTGATTGTTATCTTGCTAATCGTATTATGATGCAGGCGCATGATCATCCAGTGATCATCGATCATTAGTTTCATTCAGATGGTTTCTTGGTTAAATATAACTATTCTAGTAAATTGATCTTTCGGAGATTTCCTTTGTGTTTCCCTGTACACCGGAAGCACTGTTAGAGCCCACCAGAATAATAAACCGCCTTTAGTGCTCTAGCAAAAAGATTTATTGGGAAATTTTACTATATAAAACACCACTAACCCTGACCCTAACCCTAAACTTAAATGAATTTTAAAAATTTTGTTTGTAGTACACACGTATCGTGTATTATAAGGAAATTTGGTAAATCACCTTCATCTTGCAGGATATGGTAATAAAAATGTTTAAATCTAACTTCCAATTTAATGACAGCTCTAACATCTAGTCTACATATTAAATTTATTCTGTTTGTGGCGTATTTCATATTTGAGAAGAGTCAACTCATACACAAATTGAATACATACTAATAACGGAGACAAAACAAAACACTGTAGTGATTGAATTTTAAATATTATGTTATTTTAATAAATAATTGTTGAGATTCATTTAATTTACTCACTGAAATTCTAGTACAAAATAATTGATCAATTAAAAAAAAATCAATAAAACTGCATCAATGCATATTTTTACTTTTATTGCTAAGTAATTTCTAAAATTTTAATATATGAGTGTCGTCAAAAGAAAGCCTGACAATTTAAATATGTATAACTATATTTAAATTGTTGGGTTTTCTTTTGGCGACACTTATATAATATAAGCATCTAATACAAATATTAAATGCTAGTTATTAGAATAGTTTTATAATATAGTCTTTCTCATTCTTGAATTAACTATAAGCTATTTATTTAATTTATATTACACTTGAAAGTTTATTAAAATTCACTACAATGGATCTTATATTATTAAATTATTAAAAAATTAGTTTAATTTATCTGTCATTTAATGACATATCTAACATCTAGTAAGCTATTGTAATTAATCTTTTAGAAATCTATTCATGGTTTTGCATACCTTTATTGTGCTGCTACCTTATGAACAACCATAATTATTCCATTATCACATGACTGAAATATAAATAATTTGCTTTACTGTTACCAATTTAATAATGAATATAATAAATTACAATGTAAATTTGTAGCAAATGACAATTATTAGTGCTTTTACATTAATTGAAATATAAGACAATTTAGAATACTTTGGGATGATTTAGGAATTTTAGTACATCCAAAAAATCTTTTTATTTTAGGATAATTCAAACCCAACTTTATAATAAACAAATAATTTCTATGTTACACATCAGTTGTAATTACCAATTTTCTTAGGGTATTTCTAGGCATCTCTGGTTAAAGATGCCTAACAATAATATTTCAGAGCTAAAAGCCAATTAAAATGCAAAAAGTCACGTGATTGCCATTTTGTGTAGCACGAAGGATGATCTTCACGGATCAGTTCAAAAAAACAAAACAACAACAAAAAATGCGAAAAAGTAAAAAAATGTGAAAAATATCAAAAACAGCTATCTAAACCTATTTTGAGATACTAATTAAAAGTGTCAGAAAGGCGATTTTGCTTATATAACTTGCTTTTGCCTAACCCTATATGATCCTAACCCTAATAAAGTTATATGATTAGGCATAGCTTCAGGCC